AGGATCACAAGTTCAAGCATAGCCTGGCCAACTTAGCAACTAAGCTGCCTCAAAATAAAAAATAAAAATATCTGAGGATGTAGCTCAGTGCAAAGGCCTTTGTTTCAATATCCTGTATCACAAACACACACACACACACACACACACACACACACACACACACAGCCTAGGAGCATCTCTGAGTACTGGATGGGAGTGGACCATGCCTCCCCCCAGCCTCTCTCCCAGTGGTCTGGGCCCCGGCTTCTGTCTGCCTATTGGCTCAGCCTGAGAGAGGAGGGTTTGGGATACCTGTGCCTTGCACCTACAGCCTTTGGTGTTACTGCCTGGGGCAGGAAGAGACAGGGCTCCCCACCCCACCTGATGTAGCTGGCTTGGTGCTGATCCCCTGAGCCCGCCAGGATCCTGGCCCAATGCCGGACTGACTCCTGATCTCTGAGGTCCCTGGTCCCCCAGTGCTTCAGTAACCAAAGGAATGGATGGCTGATCGCAGCTTGCCATGTTGCCATGTTGCAGGCGGGGGCACTGCAGGCTGGAGGGCACATCAAGGGTAATGGCCCAGTTGAGGCTGAGCCTCCTGACCTCCTCCAGGGTCCCCCTCAGCCTCCCCAGCCTGCTCTGTGCTGTGTGGGCCCAGCTCTCTGCATGAGTGGTGGAGAATGGGGCTGGGTGTGGGAGCCCAGGGAGGAGGGGCTGCCCCTCCCAGAAGCCTCCTGCTTCTGGATTTCTCCCTAAGTGCAGACCTGTGGCCTGGGCAGAGGCCTCCATCTGGGGGCAACCCCAGCTCAGGTTCCAGGGTCCTGCCCACCTGACTTTCTGTCCCACCCCTTCCCTTCTTTGCCCTGGGGTGGGGGCTGAGCAGACTCCCCATACACACACATACTTGTACACACAGCTGCACTTGTGCACCACACAAACATGCACTCAAGGCCTGCATCCCTCCAGCTGGTCCTTGCCCCTCCTTGGGACACTGCCCAGCTCTTGTATCTGCCCGCTGACTCCTGAGCCCTTCAACATTGCCTTTGCCAGGAAGCCTGCTGGAAGCTGCCCCTGCATGGGGGTCATCCATCCACACTGTGAGTTTGGGCAGGGTGGGGTTGGAGGAGAACAATGGACTGCCCTGGGTGTGCAGTCATTGGGCACCTGTCATTGATGCACCCAGACCCCAGTGAGAACGCAGTGGTGTTGCCATTTTCAGATAGAGACTGAAAAACTGTGTGGCTCCTAAAACAGGACTGGGTTCTCTCCACCACCTCCAGCTCCAAAGATAGCTGCTCTTCTGTCCTCAACTCATCTGGGGACAGTGGTGCCTACACGGTAGGACTCTGGGAACTTTATCTCAGAGCAGGATTGGTTTGAAACAATTTAGCTGAGGGTGAGTAACTGCCAGCTGGAGAGGCCTGTGGGCCTGGGGGTTCCAGAGGCTGGCTGGGCAGGAACCTGTCTCTCAGTCTCATCTGGGCAGGTGGCCTGCACTCAGTGGGAGGCAGGTGGTACCCAGGGTGGGGTATTAGGACTATGCCTACCTGGGCCCTTCCGGGAACCCCCAGGGGGCCCAGCTGCCTCCCCCACTGTTGCCAGCTCAAGCCAGGATGGTAAGAAAGGAGCTGCTCAGCTTCTTGGTGTCACCTGGTCATCACTAGATGCCAGTTTCTGAGGCCAGGGTGACCATAGCTACTGGTCCAGGATAAGCAACAGGCCAGACCTGGCATAAGAAGCCATGGCATCCCACAGTCTTTGAGTCAGCTTTGGGCTCCAGTAGCATTTTGTTGGTGGTGCTTTCTTCTCTCCAGATCTTGGCTGTCCTTTTTAAATGGCATGGGTTATATTGCTCTCACCTTCTGTATTTACCCAGCTTCTTCCTGAGATCCCTTTACTGGGAGCTTACTGCCCCTCTGCCTGGACTAGTTGCTCTGTGACTTTTTGTCTCCTGCTCCTGGCAGCTGTTCACCACACCTCCTGGACCCATGGCTGCTTGTTTCTCAGTTTTCTGTCTTGTTTTGCTGGAGCACATCCTGTGTGCCTTCTTGGAAAGGGTGAGCCCAGAGTGTGTGAGCACAGTGCTCTGTGCTCAGCACAGAAGGGTGTGTCTAGCAGCCCTCAGGTCTCAGAGGAATCATTTCTTTAGCACTAGAAAGGCCGGATCTTTATCACTTTCTGCATCCAACTGCTTACTGGTGTCTTTGTCAGCACCTCACCTTGCTGGAACCTTCCTTTCTCCTGGGTTCTTGTCACATGTGTGGCTGTGTCTTAGTGTAGATTTTTGCTTTCAGTGGTGCTCAGTGGGACTTTCAATGAGAGACAGGTTCTTTGATCTGTACATAATTCTCTCCCCTTTTTTCTGATTTCTTCCTCGAATTCATGGGCTGGGCTTCTGTTACTGCCTTTTCCTTTGGACATTTTGTTTTCTTGACTGTGTTCTATTTTCTGGACATGTTTGGGCTTCATTTTCTACATCTCTGCTTGGAATTCTGGTGTTTTCTCCC